CAGGACCTCGCTGCTGCCTGAGCGCAGTCTTGGCCCCTGCTCATCTTGCTGCGCATCCACACCCAACACCTTCCCCCCAGGCCTTGTCCCCCGCCCTGCCAGCACTGCTGCTGGAATCTGCCAGCCCAGGGCAAGACTGCCCATTCCTTCTGCCCAGACTCCACAAGGACTGTCCCAGTCCCTCTGCATGGACGTCCTGCCCTTGCACGTCGGACTGATTCACCCCCCAATTTGGTGTCCTGTACAAACATGAGAAACACTCCTTCACCTACTCCAGATCAGCAATGTCACCTCGCTCTTTGTATTACAGATCGCCAGACATGGCTAACAAGACGGTAGTTCTCACAGAATACAAATGCAAGAACATCAAGCCTTTGTGGAATCATTACAATGTTTTTAAGCCAGTTTACCTGAAGTAAGTTTTCCTCTTCACAGAGATGTTTATCCACCTTCTTGTACAGATTATCCAATCCCTTCTTCACTTCCTTCCCAGGATATTCCTTTATAACTTTACGAAGCTCTTGTTTATTAAAAGCCAGCTGATAGCTTACTTCCTCTTCTCGTATACCTTGTGCCACACGAGCTTCAACACCTTCAAAAAAATGCTAACAATAACAGCATTAATGATTATCGCAAGATTAAACTAATTAATGTGAGAAGGATACAATAGTTAAGTCTTGGTTCTGCTTGGCAACTGTCACCTGTTTTCCCTATTTTTTCTTTTAAATTTGGCATGAAGCAGTTCTCAGCCATAACCATTAAATCTGTCCAACCACACAGCACCCTGTACGTACTAGTATAGGACTGCAATCAATCATTTCTAGAAGCTGTCAAGCTTTTCTTTGCAACTTTATTAACTAATAGTGAATCAGCCTTGAAATCCTCCATTAAAGAGGCCATAGCCTGGGAAAATTTTCTCTACTTAAACCATAATTACACAACAGTAATATCTGTTCACAATTGCCCTCTCTTTTCACTGCCCGGCACCAGTTTTCTCAACAGTGACATGGAAGGACGTGTGCCTACGAGCATGCATGTGGCGTCATGATGTCATTTGAAATGCTGCCCTGGGTCTGGCTGGGACAGAGTTAACTTTCTTCATAGCAACCCACAGCGTGCTGTGTTCTGCATCTGTGGCTAAAGCAGGGCTGATCACACAACAGTATTTCGGTTATTGTTGAACAGGTCATCCCTGGCCAAAGGGTATCCCATAGCACGTAACATCATGCTCAACTGTAAAAATTAAGGGAGGGGGTGAGAGTGGTGCTGGTCTTCAAGGTGGCTGTGGTTCAGAAAGTGGCTGGGCATCAGTCTGCTTGTGGGAGGCAGTGAGAGACTGCCTTTGCACCACTTATTTCCCCTCCTCCTCCCTCCCCTTCACTGATTAAATTGTCTTCATCTCCACCCCCAAGTTTTCTCAGTTTTGCTCTTCCTATTCTGTCCCCTGTCCTGCTCAGGGAGCAGAGAGCCTGCAAGCAGTTAGCTATGTGGCAGCTTAGGTGCTGGCCAGAGTCAACTCACATATGGGAAGAAGCAATAAAGCATTTTAATTTTCAAAAAGAGAATACAACAGAAAATGAATGGCTGAAATCACGCTTACAGAAAAATCAATGAACAGTGGGAAACATTCAGTGGGCACAACTGAGCCTGAACCTCATTCAGCATTCTGTTTAACATTTAGTTCAACTTTGGACATATAGAACTTCCCTAAAACTTTTCTTAGTACTGGAGTTTCTGAACTGTTTAACAATTTTATCTGCAGTTGAGGTAGGGAACATTATCCCAAAGCTGCTGATTACTTTTTCCCTCGCTTCTTCCTTCCTCAAAACCATTTGCTTAAGACACAACTGATGTTTAGCCAGTACTGCTAACTGCCACGAAAAAGTGGGTTATTTTCACACAAGGCTGTTACCCTCATAAGTACAGCTCTTCACAGGCACACCTGAGTCTAAAATAGTAAGAGACTATGATAGATGCAGTGATCAGAGAGTGCCAACTAAACACTTGGGAAAGACTAGTCTGTGCCATTTAAGTGAATATAAACTCAAATAGACTCACATTTAATTTCTCAAGAGGCTGTCCAAGCGAGTAGATTACATAAGACTGAAGATGATCTGTGTACTTCTGCTTGGCTTCTTTTTTCTCAGCCTCAAGACAAGAAATTTTCAAGCGAGAAAGCGTTGCGAAAATATGATGGAAGTTCTCCATCATGACCACATCTCTGGGTGTTTTCTGGCTTTCATTAGCTACTTTCTCAACTGAAAGAAAAAGGAAGCAATATACTTAAAATATCAAAAGAACAACAAAATTCAGAAAAATAACGATAATACCATCAGAAAAAGAATTTTGGATTTTATGTGCACGATAACCGTTTGTTTGAGATTGTCATAATTGCCACTAAATAAATCAATATGTGAGAGTCTTCAAAAAGAATTAACAGATATATACAGGCTGTAAGACCATTAAAGTTTTATACCAAAAAAGCCACTTATAAAATGATACAAAATAGGGACTACATATGGCCTCATTTACATAAGTGAGAAATAACCCACATACTGTGGAGGCTTACAAGCATGCTTTCATTATCCCTAACAAATTTCACATGATAGAACTACTTAAAAAAAGTTTATTTCTTAAACTATTTAAGAAAAATCAAAGAAAAATTACTCCCCTCTTTGGTAGAACAAAAATCTTTAGTAAGGTGGCAGATGTTTTTAAAAAAATTTTCAGTCTCTCAATTTTTGCTTATTAGTTTTATGGGCAAAGTTACTGTAAATCCCTAAATTTAAAAACAATGGATAATCTTATATATAGGTCTCATACCTTCATCTCCCGCCCCAAAAAAACCTCACAGGTCATGCAAAAGAAATCCTACCTATCACTCCCTTACTGGGCCTTTTTAGGCTGAAAGAGGATGGCTTCAAGCAAAAAGGCAATTAAGTCTCTATGGCCATTCATTCATGAGTCATTTTGCTGAGATTACCAGGGTGCCACCATGAAAGTGATCCTGGGCACAACAGTATGAAAAAAGATCACAAATTCATTTCAGTCAGAACTCTGAACTGCCAACTAAGAAAAGTCTGCTACTGCCGATTTCATTCATCCCATATAATTTTCTACTCACTTTCCCACTTCTACCAAAAGTTCTACATCTTTCTGATCGGTTCCAAACATTACTTGTAAATTAAATACCCTACTGCATTTTGCACTGAGTCTGTACATATTTTTACCTTTGTTTCATATTCATGCTTTACTTCTATCCCTCATCCTCTCCCATCAGAACTCTTTGTTCTTTAAGTTTGCTCTGTGCTTGTCTGAAACAGGTTTTGTTTCTTCCTCAGCACTTTACTGGCATCACTTTGAGTCCCTTTTAAAATATGCTCTTCTAAATACTTCCTACACTAGTTATTTTATTATTGCACAGCTTTGCCTGTCCATTGACATGTGCTTAGATTTATCACTCGAACAGTAAACTCTTAAGGACAGAAAAGGGTGCAATCAAATTAAAAATGTTTTCAAAATTTAATGTCCTATCAGCTGTGATGCTCCTGCTAAGCACCTGTGGACTCTAGTCTACTGTACCATGATTTCCTAATTACGTCAGGAACAACTGTTCCTCAAACTAGTTTTATTGCCTCTCCTGTCTCTTGTCCAATCTTCCCCTAAAAAAAAAAGAGGCAAGTCTCAGTCGTCGGGCATTACTACGGGTGGAATTGTTTGAAAATTTGCAGGTAAATCAGCATGGAGAAGTCCTTCCATCCATGCGTATGTCATCCCCCCATTTTAAAAGGGAAAGACAATTTTTCCAGAGTTCGTTGTCCCACCCTCCTCCACCCTCCCTTTTTTTTAAAAAAAAATATTAAATAAAACCAGTACTTTGCTGTTTTTCCAGACCCTAGCAATGAAAATAAGGAGGACGGGAGAGACATTCTGCTGTGGCACGCTAGGACGCAAGGGACGTAATTTGCCAAGAAAGGGTCAAATTCATAGCCAGAACTCAAGGGCTTTATTTTAAGAAAGGGCTGTATTAGGGCCAAATGCCAGGGATCCCATCTAGATTCACCTCCTGATTTAAGGTACACTAGGAGAGAAAAGACAAGAAATCACTTCAGATTGAGCATGTCCTGTTGCTGCCATGTCCTCTCCCTCCAGAGTCTTAGCCACTTCCCTCTGTCACAGCTGGAAGTTACTTTACTTTTATTTTAAAAAAGTATATTAAAATCAAAAGGTTTACACTTGTGTTCCTACTGGTAACAGAACCAAAATTTCAGCACAGTATCAGTCATATGTCTTGCAAGAGTCTTGAAAAAAAAAATTGTCAATTGGAGCGAAATTATATATAAATAGAAGGAAACAATCATTTCAGTAACTACGACAACCTTAGAAGACCTACCACTGACAAAAACAGCTCTAATAAGTTTTATGTAGGCTTTATCTAGATCTCCTCGTCGTTCTGCATTTTTGAAAATTGATTCAGCGAGGGCTGCAAACTCTTCAAATTCAGCAACAAACGGAAGGATACCAACTTTACTCTTCTTGGAGATTTTTACTTCATCCATCTGCTTCATCTGATTACTCTTAAATTTAAAGCAAGAACAGATCTTAGTCTCTCATATGACTCCAGATCATGTAACAACAAGTAAAAGAAACATGCAGACTTACTGAAAACTTAACATTTTTTCAGACACAGAAATAATTTTATCCTTCAATTAGAGTATCTACTTAGTCTTCCTGCCTTTTTACCCTCAAAAATTTGTTAATAAATAAAGTAACTGGAAAGCAAAAAGAAAACCAGGCAAGTCTTCCAGCATTTATTCTCCCTTTTTGTTTATTTACTATTAAGGGAAAAAAACCCACTAAGCTTATCCACCAGAAGCAATTAACAATTTTCCTTCTATAATCTAACAAGGAACTTTGCTCTTCTGATTCAGCCAAGCTAACAATTCCTCTTGCTACAGGAAATTCTACAGAAACTTTATTTCTGAATATAATCCAAAAAAATTAGCTTCAAAATATTTTTAGTATTAAACTGATCAAGAATGGTCAGTGTTATTATGTTGGCCTAGCGTCCAACACATTTATGATGATACAAAAAAGTTATACCAGCAACTATGTTTTCACTAACCTTGTTGTATTTCATATAATGGTCATATTGTATTAGCAAAAGGAAGTTTCTGACAGTAAAGGCTGACTCTGCTACTGCCAAAAGATTTGCCATTTTACCTAAACAAAGTTTTTGTTAGATGCAAGAAATAACACATGGAAGAGATGTCTATTTGGCGTATTATGCTCCAGGGGGAAAAGCCAAACCCTCCCAAGTCGATGAGGTGCTGTTTCAGTAAGCAAAAAGGGCAGAGAGCTATAGTGTACGTGACTGACTTCAGCCATCTCAGTAAAAGCACAAGTTTAAACAAACAACTGAAAGTGTCAACGAGCTCACAGCAGTGAACGAGTGCTCGTTCGAGTGCAAATAGCTAATTATTGAAGAAAACTGAAATGGAGAGGAAAAAGAAACACAACCACCCTTGGGTTATCTTTTTTGAAGGTTTGGCCAGTAGAAGAGCAACAAAGTTACTTATTTTCACTTCACAATAAAAACAAAAATTTAACTACAAATAAGTGCAAAAGAAAATTGGGTAGGACTGGGCTTCCTATACCACTACAGTTAGCTTAATCAGAATAACTGAAGAACTTACAATGCATTTATCAAAGTTCCTTTTGACAGTCACCAAAACATTTCCAAGCGTTGTGCTGAGAAAGGAAGCTGGGTCCACATTTTGTGCTGTCCATACATGATGACTCATCTTAACTAACATATAAAGGGAATTAAAGCTATCAATCTTGTCCCCCAGTGCTATAAGATTATTGAGCTCAGGTTCAACACAACGAAATATTTTTGTCATCATTTGTCGGATCATGTCCTTCCTATTAAAAATGCATAAGAAAAAAGTTACTCTAACAGTTTACTAGGGCATTTTACACATTCTTTGATAACATTTGTAGGATAAATTTATTGGATACAGTAGTCTCACCTGCATTTAAGTCTCATGATTTTCATAAAGCTACTAAGGGAAGAAATGCCAGCGCCACATAGTAAAAATCAATAGTCACAGGTATAGAATATTCCAAGAAGTATTTTCTGTGTGGAAGTTGCCACACAATCAAATTCAGAATTTTGCTAATCACACTTTCCAAATTTCATATTACAGTGCCTAGTTTCACTTTGCAAACTATTAGAGAATTAAGCATCTTTTTAATACTACTATAGACAGAAACATCCATCCTCTGTAACAAAAAAAATTTATCTTTACTGACACATTCAGTTCACTATTCACTTTAACTAAAAGGGAACAACTTCTGATCACAAAGAAGAAAGTTTTCTGTGCCAGATAAATTCACATGTAGGCTAAAGACTCAATAATAAACAACAGCAGCACATACTCAGATGCTATCGTTTGTGGAACACCAGGAGCGTATGAACGAGTTAAATTTCCTCCATCCATTTCCTCTGCCTCATTCTGTAAGAACAAGGAATGTAAATAAAGGAAGTCAAAATCTTGTCTGAATTCTATATTTATGTGATGAGTATATCCAACAAACCAAAGATAATTATCCCCCCCTGCCACAAAGTAGCAAATACAGTGGTTTACAAGGTTCTGGTAGTTTTCTGCTTACGGAGAAACCTGTATTGCAAAGTTGCCAGATAAAATTCAGAAGTTATCTTTTAAACAGGCCTCTTACAAGGCCTGTTTAATATCTTTTACTTTGGTGACAGAATGAAGAGTCATACCGTTGTTCCTGAGATGCTCTGATGTTGCTGTAGTTTGAAAAATTTACTAATGAAGTCCTGTTCTGCCAGACACAGAGGCTCTAGTTCGGTTAATACTTGCTCGAAAATCTAAAGAAAGCCAAATATTTCATCAACACACCAAATACACTGAACAGTTAGTAATAACCAGTTTTTGTCACATACGATTTTATCTTCAGTAAGCTTTAGAAGGCTTAACAGAAATGGAAACAGCTTGTACTCATGTCTTTAGAAGCGCCATCTGAACCTTCCACGTAGTCCTGTCCCTTCTCATTCGTATAACATAGAGAGGAAAAGAACAACCTATGTCCTTCCACAGCTAAAACAGGAAGGACTTTTGTATTACAATGAAAACATTTGCATTTTAACAGCAAGTTATGGGCTCTGCCACCCTCCGTTCTTCCTCTCAGCAACCTGGGCAGAAGACAAAATTAAAAGCCTCAGGAAAGAAAAACAGGTAAACTGCGTATGTAGAAGGTGACTGCTCTGTACAAGAATTTTCTACATAGCTGCTACAGAAACCAACAGCAGGTTTTGTAGTGAAATAGAAGCAAACATCAAGATTTTTACATTTAATCTAAAATAAAACACTATTTTAGCAATAGTTCATTAAAATAATTTAATTAACCTGTACTACTGAAATTGTAAGTCAGGTGTTAGACATACTTCTCATCTGTCAGGTTTACACAACACAGAATTTTCTCCCCAAGTATTTCAGGATTAAGACATGCAATAATTTACATAAATGAAAGCAATCTAGCCACACAATGAGTCCACACTACTATTCTCCTAGAAAAAAAAAATTAGAAAAAACTACTAGGTCAGATCAATGACTTACAACTCTGTAAACATTAGTCACACTCACATGTCACCAATGTGTGCGGGATAAAATTCAGAAGAAGTTGAAAAAAATTGGCACAATACTTGTATAAAATTGTTTTAAAAAGTTGTCATTTTAATTCTAGACAAGTTGCTGCTACAGGTGTCTAATAACTTAATAGTTCATTGTTTCAGATGCATATTATTTCCTCCCAAAAGAAAAATTTAACAAGGATTTAAGAAGTCAGAAGACACTTATCACCATCAAATAATTTAATAGAGAATAAGAAAAATATTTGTATCTCTCATTCTGATAATATTTCCTCCTCCCTCCACAGTACTGAGGAGTTAACTTCACAGGAAACGACACTTTTAAAGGTTCAGAAACAAGCAAACAAAACCAAAAACCACTGCAGACACAGATGCCGAGGACAGCAGGTTTTTAAACAGATGCTGAGGACACTCAGTAATAATTTAGTGCCATTGGTTAAAGCTGAAAAATGATGACAACTCTGATGTGAAACCAGTATAAATAAAATTTCAGAGCCACGCTCTAGTCCTGGCTAAAAGGAGATTACGTTTTCTTATTTTTCACTTTTCATACGCTGGCAAAATGCGACATGAACGTGAGTATTAAGAAAAATAAAATCAGTTGAAGAATTCATCAGTTCAACTCCTATTCGCTTAAAAATGCATTCTGGACTTGAGCCTAATAAACCATTTTTTAATGCTCAATATTCTTTAAAGATTCCTCCGAGCATATGAAGACCTAAATGGAATCTTACAATTATGTTCTACATATTTCTTAGAAACTGTCTTTATTAGACACGTGTTGCATACAGAATTTGAAATTGGCATGTTTTAAGATTTCAACAGTACGGATTTTTAAACCATGCAAGGATATGCAAGACCCTTCTGATACAAAACTAAGCAGGGATCCTGTGCACCATCTTGCCTTTACCTTATCAAACTTGGTTCTATCAGCCACATCAAGGTCAGAGGCAGACATGTTTCCCATATCCAGCAGGGAGGATGACTGAGACCTACGGTTTCCAGAACTCTGAACAGAGAGTTTATTTAGGCTGGAAGTAGACCCAGTCAGTTTTCCAGAACTGCCATGAAGACCTGTGAAATAAAGACACTATGAAGGAGGGAAGCAAAGGCAGAACACAATACTCAAGAAGAACAGGTTCATTACAGAATGTATGAGATCAAGAGCTACTAGTAGTCCTACATTAAAAATGAAACAATTTTTTTTGTCTAAGGTGTCAATGCTATTGCTATAAACACATTCTTTTCTCATTACAAAGTAACTGAAAAAATTTCAGCAAGTTTCAAATTACAATTTAGCTATATAGGCCCTCATTGTAAAGTATGGAAAAAGGCATAAAAGGAACAAAACTGGGTAATACAGTAATATTGTACACGGATAGATAAAACACTAGGATAGATACTCCACTTGAACGCTTGGAAGCAAAGACCAGTTATGATCTTTGTGAATGTACTTTGGGTAAAGGCTGCCACTAGGAGAAGAATTAATCCACAAGAGGAAAAAAATTAAAAAACTTTATACACACAGGCACTTTTTCATCTTGAGCTTGATCTTTCTGCTGTTAATATCCTTTTGTCTAGATAGTTTGCTCCAGCTATTTTGTTGGATCTGCAATCCCATAGTATCTCCACTGCTAACGTTCCCCCCTCTTCGGATCATAAGTAACACTCAGACATTTCTTGCTGATATTGTAGGGCCTTCTCCTAGGTGAGCAGCATATCTGTTCCCCCAAAACTTTCAGTAATGTTGGAACAGGATGGAGAAAGTTAGTAATAAAAAAGTCCAAGAAATTGTGAATATTTGACCCCCATGTAAACTTCTAACATCTCAACCATAAATAAACTTAAAAGCAATCCTGCAAGTTTCATTTAACTACTCTCCTGGTATCTGGTCTAGGGACACAAGACGAAGTCTACAGATCTAATAAATGTCATTACCTCAGCCTACTGGAAGAGTTGGAAAACTGCAAGCTCTCAGCCTCAAACATATTTTTTAGATCAACTAGCAGCACGAGAAAAGCAAAAGATGTTGCCTTTATCTGCCAACCTTCTCGACTTCTATGCTGGGCCATTTTAGCCGTGTTTCATTTTTGCTTTGCAAAAACAACGATTCTGCTAATGCTTATTTCATTCTGAACAGAGTGCTTCAGTGTTAGGGGGATTTTCCATGATGCGGCACTACACATGTACATTGACACACATGCATTGACAATACCAACTAATGCAACTAGTTATACTCACTCTCAGTTTCCTGTTTGACAGCACTTTCTTTTCGGGGCAGTGTAGCTGGGATGGATTAGGTTGCAAGCATCAAAGACAAAGACAAGTTAAAATGCAGTTTGCACAAACCATGCACAAGATGCAAGTTAAGCTCTAACTGGAAAGAAACATGCGGAGAACTATAAGCAGCAAGTAACTACATTGCAAACACATTTAGTTGGAGAGGTGCTATTCTACAAATTCAGAATCTAAGCCACATGGAAAACACAGTTAAGTTTCTAGGTATTCAACTTTGTTTTTTCTTACATAATGTCTTCAGGGAACATTTTTTGGTAACATGTATTTAAGATCATCGAAATTGAGAAGTCCATTAAATTAGGGTTTTATTTGTCAGACTTAATATTGCAAAAGACTCAGTTTCCAAGATCAATCAGTGTATCGGTAATAGACATGAAGAAATAAAATGTACTTCTGTGATTTTGTACTGAGTCAGAGATATTGTCCACACCTTCAATTTAAAAAACACACACCAGTACCGCAAAAATAATTCATATCAACTGTAAGACTGGCTAACCTTTTCTGTTGTTTGCAAATCAATATGTTCACATAGAGAATACATCTTGTGTACTCATGCAGCACCAAAGATTGATGGCTGCAAATTTGCAGAGAACGAAAACAATCAAAATATAGTAAAAAAATCATTAGTTTTTAGTTTTTGTTTGTTTTCCGTTTCTTCAAGTGGACTTTGATATGAAATTTAGAGTAAATGGTTGTTTGTAGTAAACAGAGAATCCCTAACCAGTAAAAGGCATTTGCATACATACACTAAAAGCAATATGTGGTATTAAGAAGATCTTGATGAGGATGGATGCTACAAGCCCCCCAAAATGGAGCACGCAAGCAGAACCTACTGTAATAGAATGAGTAAATACTTCTAAATGCCACAAACATGTCTTAAATACCAGATGTTCTCAAGTAGGCAACACTACTGACAATTATAACATCAAACTCAAATTTAATTCCAGACTAGTTTTCAGATATTCAGAGTTTTGGCAGTTTTTGAATAAAAAGGTTTAGGCCTGGTGTATACGGCACATGCATCTGTCATGCATTGGTCCCACTTCATCAACCTCAATTTCCAAACTCTCAGAACTATATTTCAGAATATGAAGAACTACAGACAAAGATTAGGCCCTGTGCCATCAGAGGAGCCATAGGGGCTTTTGAGAAGCCACATCATATAAATAAGTGACAGTAGTAGCACACTTTCCCACATTGATCTTATGGTATTTAAGTATCAAAGTCTTGGCTTCATCAGAAAAGAAAAGAAAAAAAATGACTACTTAAGACAAGTATGAATGCTCACAACCCAAATACATTTTTTTTTCCATAAAAATGCAGACAAAGAACCTTGCGCTAGCACAGAATGCCAGAATTCTCCCAGCATCCCCTCTGCGTTTGAGGCATTCAAACAGCAGTGCTATTCCCAAAGCACAAAAAAAAAAAAAAAGGCAAGAACACACACCAACACAGATTGGAAACAGGTCATCTTTAGTGTCCGAGTACAACTGGAGCGTTATGCACCTACACTATTCCTTAAACAAGCTTACTATTAAGACATGATGTATTTGGAATTAAATGTGCAACTAGTAATAGTACAACCACTACCTTCAACACAGAAGTCTGAAACTACACAGTGTTATATAAGCTGTTGCCGAATACATTTGCACGAATACATGGCAGAAACCTTCTCAAGGTACAGCTCTTCTGCTGGTGAACTGAAGGACCTCTTTCTCCAAAACTCCTGACCACTCCACACATTTACAGAAGTTAGGAAAAGGCTACAAAAACCGTCTCCTCACAAATGCAAATCACAAAACAAGTACCAAGACAAAAGTGCCCAGAATGCTTTAGTAATCAATTTTGTATTAGGCTAAAGTGGGGTTTTTTTCTTGCAGTAAGGTAGCTTTTCAAGATTTAAAATTTTATCTGACGATGACACATCTGGCACTGCTTGCTCCCCATGTCCAACAGCTTGCCAAGACTCATCTTTCCAGTTTCCCCCTCTCAGTCAAGCCTCAACACTCTCCTGCTTTCTTTCTGTCATTACCTTTTTCTGTTCTCTACTGTCAAACTTCAAAATAGAAGTTCAGAACCCAAAATACGCTTGCAAAAACTTTAGCTAGTATAAGCTGCACATCATTTCTGACTTCAGAATTTGGAAGATGGTGAACTGTGACAAATACGAGTCTTTCCAGCAAGTTTTAAATTGAAACAGTGCACCTGAAAACATGAAATAGTCAATATATAAATACACTTATGTCACTGTTGCTTTCTAGGTATTCAGGTTTTCTTTTTAAAAGCTGCACTTCCATACTCGCACTAGATTATTTAATCCTAGCAGGAATACACACTCCCTTAAACGGACAGACCTACAAGGAAGTACGATTTCTAGTCTCAGCCTAAATAGGTAAATCCCACTGAAAACACAATGAAATACACAAGCTTCCTTAGGCAAAATTTAGCATTAAAACTAGGTTCTTCAAAACCCACCCAAAACTTAAAGCAGAAATAATAGCAGAAGGAACACACACGTGCTGTCTAAGCTTTCTTTAATTACAAGAGTTGATTTTTCAAATTCGTTCCAATAATAAAGTGGGATACTTCAATTACAAAAAAGTGGTTGTAGTTTGTTAAAAAGCAACTGTCTATTTAAAAATCTGACAAGTCCTCCTTCTATCTTGACCAATTTCACAACATTACCGGTTGAGCTACTTTAGCCTTGTAAGAAGTTTCACCATTGTATTTTTCATCCAGCTTCTACCTTGCCAAAAGTAAACAATTTTACATTGTTACAAAATTGGCCCTAGGTGTTGTAATGAGTATTTTATAAGCAAACAGTAAGACTGAAAGCAAGATACGCGCCTCCTGGAAGCTTACCAAACTTTTTTCCTTCTCTGGTTGTGCCTGTCATCTTGATCTTGGCAACTTCAAAGAAATCTTTTATTTCCCTTTCATATAGTCGTGATAAATAATCCATATAATTCTTAAAAGAAAAATGTGAAGTTAATTAAGAGGTATACATACCAGCAAGTATGTAAATTCTACTAAATGACAAACTGTTTTGGCCTGTCTGTCTATCTACCTATCCTTTATGTAGCACGCACAACAAGATATTAATGATATTTAAGCAGGTTATATTAATTTTCCTAGTGATTCATTGGGCATCAAACTGCTACTTCTCCTCCATAAGGCAAGATACGCAATGTGCTGCATACAAATAGGATTACTAATGGTAGAGCACTACAGGATTCAATTCAAGGGTAGAATGGAGAGAATTCAGCACCATCCTCCGTAGTCTCATTTACTAGACTCTTACCATGCTCCCAAAAAAGCAAATAGGATGACATTCCTACACATCTTCCTGAGCAGAGGACCTCCTTTACTACTGTTTTCTGAAAAAAACAGAAGACCAGAAAACTCTGGGAGGCAGAAGTTCTGCGTACCTACTCACTGTAAGATCCAATCAAGTCCAAAATAAATTTTTGCAACATTGCCAAAAACAAGGTCAAATTATAAAAGGAGGCACGACTGAAATGAGTTTGAAGACTATCTGCTTTGTTTAGATTTTTAGTACAAGGGCTATATTTTATTTATCAACAAAGATAAATCAAGATTTTTTTTATGTTCTTCAAAATTTTCTTACTTAGCACACATAACACAAATCTCTCCATTTTTTTATTAGAAGATCATGAAGACATTAACCATTCATTGATCATTTGCTTTACACTGGAGGCAAAAGAAAATTTCAAACCCGTTTTAGAAATCTAATTTAAATCTTCCTTGGTTGAGTTTTTAAGAATGATAGAACTTCAATACAAGATGGCTTGGTCTGTAAGGATTAACTTTCCCTTGACTTCTGTCTAAGCATTTTCTGTACTTCTGTAGTAATGTTTTCACTCCATGTCACTTCTAAACATGGTAGTTCAAAGCTACCTATATACAAAGACAAAATGTTTCTATTTAATCTACTTTATAAAAGACCTTCAAGTTTTTCATATTCCCAAGTGAAATTAAAGTCTGCTGAAATAAAGATGTCACACAGGTCAAAACCATATCAACATGAAAATAGCTTAATTATTTTTCTTACTAGACTGTAAAATGGCAAAATTGTTTTACATAAATACTTTATGATACTTTGGAACATAGAATCCTGGAGGAAAAAAAATAGGATATAACAAATGCCAAAATGAAGTTTCCTATTCCAAAGAGGAACAAGAAAAGAAGAGTGAATTATATTTAATATAAAGGAATACTAAAAGGACATGCATATACACACAGGCAATTCTTTTGACTCTCAAAAATAGTATATTATTTACAGTCTCTGGCATCATGTCAGCACTTCACATACCTTTGTTAGTCCTTCATATTTTCCATAATCTGTGTTCTTGAGCCACTCCATCAGTTTAGCGTAACGAAGTAAATCTCTGTGGAATGGATGGTGATTGGGTAATGTCAATTCAGCAGAGTGTTGGGCAAGAGTGGAACTCTGATCATGGCCCTTGATAAGAGAAAGTATTAAAGTAAATCTGGAAGCACTATATAGATGTACTAGAAGTTTCTAAAAAACTTAAAATGAAGATAGCATCCCATTCAGGCAAATAGAAAAGCATCAAAAACACCTTGCCCAGAAATGAAGTCGAGAGATACAAGAGAGAAAAGTCACCTAACATAATATGGACACCAAGATACTACAGTCATGGCAGGTAACACATCTTAGTAAGCTTGCTCATTGTAAGGTCCTTGCTGCTTACCACTGCCTTCGGGGTGACTCAATTCACCAATTTTTGCACAAAAATGCAAGCTACGCGAGTGAAGATTTAAAGATAAATGTTTATGTGCAAGGTACACCTGAATGAAGATTTAAGGACAAATGATTGTTTTTGAAAAATTCTAAGAGAGTGTTATATTGGTTCTCTAAACAACAATAAAAAATGAATCACAGCTGCTTCCTTTTAAAGATGGTGTTCCCATATACTGTAAGACATTTCAAGCTCTACGCTACACCTCCAAAGCCTACTCCAATTCAAGCTACTTTAGTCCACTTTGGCCAAAACTTGGTCAAGTCTTCAAAACACAGTTCACACGCATTCCCTTGTCATCCACACAAATGTAGACACATGCTTTCAGCATGCAGCATATACCAATCCATTTAACAACAAACTACTACCCTTTTCTGTGGCTTATCTCATGAAAAACCAAACAACCTTTAAGTGAAGATCACATCATATTGCTTGAACAACATAGGATTTAGCTTTTCTAAGCTTTCACTCGCTTGAAGTCATATAAGTTTCCTGGCCAATTCAGGAAGCAAGCAAGGTAACACCACGGTTCAGCCATGCAGCAGAACACACAACCATTAGCCCTGGGGTAACAGAGAGGCAGGTGGGACGTAATTTCAAAATGGCTTTAATATTTTCTCTAAAGTCTTTTTTACTAGGATTACAATAAATAGAACAAGTGAACTTGATCTTAAATACAGTCTGTGCTATGGCAGCACAAAAAGATTGTCCTAATTGGTCTCTAGCTCCTGTAGCATAACATGCAGGTGGCTTATGCAGGTCAGTCAGTGTCAGTCCCTGACAGAGGAAGTATTCCTGGTCAGTTCTGTTTTGGACATGATAAGTAGGTAGAATATAAGCTACACAATTTAAAAACTGCCTTTGCATGTCTTTATGTTGGAACAGAAGCCAGTTTGGGTCACACAGTCAAAGATAAAGCAACTTTGGCTTACCCTTCTCTTGTAGTGGGCACTAATCAGTTCAAGGCTCTGGTTAAAAAAAGCCCTAAAAGGTCCCAAAATATATTCACAATTTTATGTTTTTAAAAAAACGAAGATACGAGTCCTGATATTATCAATTGTAAAAGACTAACCTTTACAATATAACGTAATGCAAACACATCAGCTTCTGAATAAGGCTGGATTACTTTTTTATGTCCAACACGAACATGCATTTAGTTTGAGTCTTGTTGTCTTAACTACATAAACTGAGACACAATCGGACCCAAAGAAATAAGTCCTAGACAACTTCATCTGTTCTCACAGACAATGGGGAAGGGTCACACTATAAATCTCCCTTCTAAAAACGATCTTGTAGTGTGACACCACCAAAAAGTTAACTTTGTAAAGTTTGATTACTGCAACATATAATTTGAAATTGGAATCCAGCCAGCATTAGCCACACAGCTGCCAGTGTGATTACGGGGGTCATACTCAATCCCATGTGTTCTGGGCATGCGTATACAAGTATTTTCAACCGATCTTTAAAATGCTTTTATAAAAACTAGATATAGAAAACCATTTATGGATCTCTCTCCTATCCCTGGTGTGCAACACTCCTAGAGGATGCATTCTAGTGTTCAAGTTCATCACAGTTTGAGCTGTGTGACTTTCACAGCTTTCTTCAACTAAGTCAGCCAAGGCCACAAAGGCTAGTTCATATTACTGCTAGGAAACACTCAGCTATCTTTATTGATTCTTTCATGTAACAATTTTACTCATGACTGTTTATTACAGAAACCTTTTTATTTTTGCTTAGTAGTCACAATCTTCATAAAGCTAGATAACATAGCCCCTCACAAGATAAATTCTACTCTCCGAGCCACGACAGAGAAAGCACAGGACTAATTACTCTGGTTGTCCTAAACTATGTCAAACCTGCTCCAAAAGATCACAGGGTTTCCAGGTGTACCTTCGCCATCTAACTAAGAGGCTTCTTCTCACTACACGTGCATTCATACCAAATGATACTGCAAGTTTGTTATTCAACTATTTCGTACTTTCAAGGCTTCAAAACATTTCATATTTCAAAGGTAGAAAGCCCAGAGTTGCCTTTAAACTGAATCCTTAACCTGGTTGTTAAAACAAATAAATCTTTAAAGTTATAGACAAACAGTAAGGTTAATCAAATATTATTAGGACACAATAAAGACAAATACATTAACTGTTAGTAACAGTTACTGCAAACAGCTTTTAACACTGCAGTGAATGGCAATCCAAAGTTGCATTTCTGTTTTAAACTTTTAAGATTTAGTCTCATTTTTATGTAAATGCATAATGGGGTGAAGCATGTTAATATCTTACAACAGCAGGTGAATCACAGCATTGTTTCCTTTTTTAAAAAAAGAACAATTTCATACTTCCCAGATAGTGTATTTAGGCAGAAATGTTAATGCAATTTTGGTTTTCCATCTAATGAGTACCGAATCAGTGTATCTTCCTTCTTAATAGAAGCTGCCTAGACATCATCATGTTTTCATTTGCCATTTTAATTTAGAAATCTTTATTTGCTTTACTTTTTCTGAAGTGGTTTAATTTTAAACAAATAATGCAACTCTTCAGATATTCTAGTTACACTTTTCAAAAACACAGGACTGAGAAATTGCTACACTCTGTTCATCAAAGTAACAACATCAAAATCTGTTACATCTCCAACACCTGAATTTGTACCTTAAAATGCAGTACACAAATTTTTTTCCTTTTTCAGAAACCAAAAAGGCCTTGCAAGGGTTCATCTCTTGCAGTTAATGACTCTTCTTGCCCTTTTTTTTTAATTTAAAAATTGAAAATTGGTAATAGCACTCTCAGTAGCACTGAAAATCACTTTAGAAGTATTAAACCTAATACATGTAGTCTTATGTAGTAATAATATTATTTTACCATTTTAAAAATAAAATCTGCAGAACAAAACACCAGAAAAAGCATTCTGTTAAAATAGCCACTTTCATACACAAGTCATCGGACTTACATAAAACTCTGTGAATGCATTTACACAGGACCTACACAACATAGTTACTACTTGCTCATTTAGAGGCCAGGACACAGTCTCTGCTCACTTTTTCAAAATATGAAAAGTAAGAGGAGAAACATACCTTCTTAAGAACACAAACTAAAGGCAAAAGAACTAACATGCTGCAGAACTGGAATTCTTCTGCAAAGTGAAGAAAGTGTAGGAAGCACTTATCTTTGCCATAAAAAGCCAGATCTGTACTCACAAATACAATTTTCTATAAAATTATCTAACATAAGACTATCCCACTTTCTGTAAGCATTCAAATATATAAACCCTAAAACTTCTAAAACTTTCATTGTGCTTACATGTATAAAAATGGAATTGATTTTATTTACAGATATTACAATTTCACCGAACTGCAGTATCTGCATAGTTGCACACATATTACAATTTGCTGAAAATATTTTTCCTCCATAACATTTCAATCTGTCTCTTAATTTCTAGAGATCAAGTCAGAGGAATGTTAGCTCAAAAACAGAAAATTGAAGCTTTGAGAGCTGATAAAAATAATGGAAGTGAGAAGGGGCGTAAGTCTGCTGGCTCTGCAATCAGTAACAACAAATTTATTTTCATCAAGCCAAAGATGCAGCTGCTAGTTAGATAAGTCAAGCTCAAAAAGTTAGAAAAGCTTGTATCAAACCCAATGTACTCACTGGAACTGAAACAGAGTAGGACCTGTTATAGAGTTGAAGGAGGGTCTGAGTAAACTAATTGGAGATAAAGAAAAATTCAGACATTAAAAAAATTATGCTAAAAAAAGACATCCAGCCTTTAGGAAACAAGTCTCAGGACAGTGATTTCTGAATATTTCAACTGAAGGCTCAGAAAAATCAAGGTTTAGACATTTAACTTTCTATAGGTTTGGGGTTTTTTTGCAGCCAAGAACTCCAATGTTCTCAGCTTCTGACACCCTTAAAAAAGTCAGTGCTCTTCCTCCTCAATTAATCCAGCTTCACAGTTAATAAATCCATATAGATGACATGATGTGTTTAATCCAGAAAGTAAATCCACTAAAAAGAGGTGTGGTTTTTTAAATGTAAGAGACTTCTGTAGGCAACTAGTTTGGTATGTTTAGTAACATCTCTGAAGTGCCTCTAGCAAACTGTTAATTTACTATTACATCACGGAACACATCCAATTTTAGTTGGATTGTTTTTCTTCTCAGGAAAGGGTTGTGACCAAAAGTTTCATGTAGAACAGTAAGAAATAATATTACAAAGACACTGTTCAAATGACTGGCAAGTCTTCGTGCAAATTGCTCACGCAAGTCACTAAACCGCTGCTGTTGCTGTTTCACCGCATGAAGCATATCATGCCCTACAAACAAAAAGAATACCACAGAGTACAAAATATATAGTAATATATCATGTGTGGGAACCAAGAGGACCTGAGGTCACGATTCTCCCAATCTAGAGAAACAAGATCTGAGGCTAGTTGGAAAAGCCCATACAATAAAGGCACCACCATAACAAATTCTGTACGTAGTCTAACAAAAGCTTTACCTGGACGAAGAGCTACATTCATACACTGCAGAAGGGCATCTGCTGCATTAGTGCAGGCCTCAATGCCTCGAGAAGATGTCAGATCTCCCTCCTGAAGGGCCTTTATGTGACCTTTAGCCAAATCCATGTGATTCTACAAAATAATGGATAGTACTGTCCATAAGCAGGTCAGTTTGCTATGCTGCTGAATCACAAATGGTGAAGACAATTCCATCATTACAAAAACTTACTGAAGTTAGTGCAATAATAAATCAAAAAATAAACTTGTTACTTTAAATGAACTTCACATATGGTTGCTAAAGAGGGTAGGAACCTAGAAGAATTTTATACTTGATGTGAACAACTCTGGTAAACACAATAAAAGTGCTTACCACTAAGAACTCTATCTCTGACAGTAGTTTCACATTATTTGTGTTGCTGAGATGGATAAGGTGGTTGCTTTCTGAAATCTGATCCATTTGCTCTTTTACACTCTGAAGCATTTCTTCGTAACTGCTCAACTTGAGCTCAATTTGGTCAACTTCCTTCAGAGCTTCATCCAGCAAGTTCATCAAGATATTCACTTGTTTCTCCGAGGCCATAATTGACTGGATATTTGCCTACACAGAAAGTTAAGCCACAACATTTTAAGAGACATTTTTGTATCTCAAAATTATTCCACCTCCTTCTTTCTCTATTACTGTCAAATAAACACTTTCTAAAACCCTTGATGAAAGTGACAAAACAATATAAGTTTGTAGAACTACTCAAATTGTTATCAAATACAGCAGTTTCTCAGTCTATGACACTTCTTATTTTGCAAACACAAGATATAAAACTCAAACGTTGCTCAAGTTTTTAGAACTGAAGCATTCATCTGCACAAAACCAAAAAACAAACAGTAATTCCCACTATGCTGGCACATTTTTAGTTCCAGAAAAACAGCTTAGATGATCTGGCAACAGGAGATGTGACCTTATCACCTACCTCTATGGTAAGAGCCATTTTCAAAATATACCAGAAACATACAACTTGACAATCCAAGGAGGTTGTTGACTATTCCCTCAAGACTGTATCCCCTGCATCTGCTTAAGTTTTCTAAGAAAACTCTAGAATGTTGGATTGTTCAAAAAGTAAAATTTCAAACAATGTGTTATTTGGCTGTCTGTGACAGTACCATAATTTTACTAGACTAAACCAGTCTCCTAATTACACCAAGAGAGGTATTTTAGGCATAAGAGTTCACATCTATGGACAGGAACGTCTATTCTCTCTCTCTCTCTCTGCACGCCTGCCTTCAAGAAAGATATATGCAGAATGCCTCCTTTTTCTGTTCTTCTCAGCTCCTCCTTTGAAAGCCTGCCACTCACCCCCAAAGGTCTGGAAGGTAGCAAGCAAAGCTGAAGATCTTTAAAATCCGATACTAGACAGGAGGTAGCTCTGCTTAGGAGCAGATACACATTTACATTTGAGTATGCGGCAGAACACGTTAGCTACCTTTTCAAAGCACAGTACGTAGGCAGTATCAGTGCAAACAGTTCAACATGCTGACAAACTGTTCATAAGAAGAAATGTTTACCCCATCCAGTACTTGTAGCTCTCTGGACAACCTCTCTGCAAAGCGTTCAGCATTAGAAATAGCATATTCACACCCTTCCATCATTATTTCAATATCCTGTTCTTCTCTGGCATTTAACTCCTGGTATTCATCCACAGCTTCTTCATCACCTCCAGCTACACTTTGATTCTCTCCACTTGGAACGGATTCTTATGTAAAGAAGGGAAATAAAACACATTATCAAGTGCAGAAAGTCACAAGAGTCCTTAAATACATTTGACTGTCTTTAAGTAAATGAAACCATTAAGCAACTTCCATAACAACCATCTGTTACCTATGTATATTAACGCCAAGTTTCAGTCTTATATAGGCTTCATCAAGGTTTCTAGAACCGTTTCCCAACAGCAGTTTCCCAAATTAGACAACATAAGCAAAACACAAAGAGCCACCTTCCTTTATTGCAGGTACAAAAGGACAAACTGTCTCAGTTTATTCACCTCTCACACTAGTAATCAGGTATCAGAATATCACAGTATTACATTGGACTTGTTAGCAGAAAATCAGCAGAAGTTAGATTCTTTTGGTAGACAGAGCAACAGGGAAACATGCTAAAGTTGATTAAGAAATATATCACCAAATAAATAAAAATTATCTTGATGCTCAAGCTAAGTTTCATAGCAGGAAAATCGGTGCTGAAGTAAGTGAAAACTATATAACAAAGTCTTCATGAACTATGATTTCTCACAGCAGTGCTTACTTAATTCAACAAGCCATTCAAAGGCTGACAGAATATTAATCCAGTCCAGCCAGAAAGCATTTAGGGCATTTTAAACATGTCTCATCTCTAGCAACTTGATCAGCTATCCAAAGCAGTATTTAAAAAAGATAAAAATTGTATTATTTAAGAAAAATTGCTTATAATGCAAAATAAAGAAAAAAGGTGTTACGCACCTTCTGCAACTTTAGGCAGTTCTGAAGAATTAAAAGGTATGGAAAAGCAGAGGAAAGGAAGCAGAGAATGTTAGCTAGACAAAGCATGACCAGTGTGTATATTTTTAAGTGGCAGTAAGTTTGAATGTTTTGATATTGTACGAACTTGAAAAGTTAGAGGTTGGTTAAAAGCAAAATTCAGTGAACACCAAATACAGAAATGCTATCCCACTCTGTTCTACATTTCTAATCCAAGTTCTGCACAAGCGAGTCTAGTCTTTAATATCAACGGTTTAACCATTTCTGACAGACTCTATGTGAGATACGCTTACGCATTAGACTTTACTAAAAAAATGTTAACTATTAAAAGATAATTGTAGAAATGATTGTAAAAATATTTAATAGAGCATGAGCGAACCAGATACAAAGCCTCCTTAGCAACCAGTCATGTAAACTGTAATAGGGTCCAGCAGAATTTAACACGTGCTTCACAGCTTATAAACTAGAAATTTCATATAAAACCTCACATAATCTCTAGCATGCTACTGAAGTGTCACTTTTTAAAGTATTTTTCTAATTCAGAAGAAAATGAGAACCAAAGTGGGTTCATTGCACATTTGGGCCTACTAGATCTTGCAGGTAGATTTTATTCTGTTCAAGAAACAGAATGTCTTAGAAATATAGTAAGTTTATCAACATTTATAACTTCATTAATGAAGTATTTTGTCTTGTTTGTTTTCTAACAGAAGATCTTTCATTTAGTCCCCTTGTCTATCTGAAGATTTAGAAAATACAGAAGAATAAAATTGAACAGGAAAAAACATCAGGATTAGGATTTATTTCTTTTTTTAGTATATCTGTTTTACAACAATAATGATTAAACTCTAAACACACAACTGTAGGAATTTACCTTCTAAAAGCTGTGAACTAACATTAATAAAGTCAATTTTCTTTCTAAGATATCTCTGATTGAGCTTCCAGATACAAGAAATGAAGGTGTTCTTTTCCACTGTGCTGCTTGCAACCCATTTGTACACTTTGTCAAAATGCAAGTCAAATTCAGGATTCTCCTGCAAAAGATGAGATACGTTACAGGCTCGACAGTCAAATGATTCTCTGATCAGCAGAAATTGTTTACACATTTAATCACTGAGATGACAGAATAAAAATGAAATTACAGAGATGCCAATTTTAAGCTGATACACCAATGCTGGCACCCTGATGCACCTTAACAAAGGTGCTAAAACACTGAAAGCGAAAAAAAAACCAGAATCCACGCTATGAAGTCACTATTTTGTCAAGCCAAATAAGGCATCTCTAACACACAACACAGAGATCTGCAAGAGTTTCAACAAACATTTGACAGCACTGACTGCCCTGAAACATTGTCCTCAGAATGACTGATGCCTTGTGTTAGCCTTCTGAAACTGAAAATGGTAGCTGGAATTACTAACATACAGAAAACAATTCAAGCAGACTTAGAGAAATAGGCAAGGGAAAAAAAAAATAAGAGCACCTGATACAATTTATAGATATGATGTTATTTAATAGCGCTGAACAGGACAGAAAAGACCATTTAGTATTTAAACAGTATATTTACTGCCTGATGAGAACATTGCTTTGATAACAATTGAATAAAGTACTTTCTATGGCCACTTATGAACTCAGTAGGGACTGTAACTGGTAATAGCCTGTTTAAAAAAATCAAATTATAAGCATTTTACAGGACAGCCTCCTGATGAAAAAAGTTATTGCCCGAGATACATGTTAAATTCTTACTTTTATATAGTTTGTAAAAACTACTATTGGGGCTATTATTACTTGTATTGTCACTGCTATCTGTAGAAGCAGGCTGCACATAAAACTGCACATGCTGGGAAATGGTATTTCCTGTACAGCACAAGAAAAGCAGTTCTGCTTTTTTTCTGTAGCTTACATTGGTAAATATAATGACTGTACATCTGTAAACAAAGAGTATCATTACATAAAACTCGAGTTATCTCACAACTAACGCAGGAAAGGCCCGTGTCAAAAGAGTTGCACAGGATCACATTTGGAAACCAAAACATGGCGCATCTATCAACTTTAATTCTGACATAAGCAGCAGAGGAACACATCATTCTAATTCCTAATTAATGTGTTATCAGTCTAAGCTTTAAAGCAGTCAGTATCACGGAAGTTAACTCTAATTTGTAACCAAAAGGATGTTCACAAAAAAAAGTTACACATACTTTAACAGCATCCTTGGCATCAACGACAGCAAGATCTCGAAGTGCCCATGCAGTCTGCCTTTTGTAGAAATCTCCCTTGTCAGATTTTTTCACTTTTACCACATTTACTTGCACTGGTCGCTCTGTTGTCACTATTAAATAAAGTAAAAGGGTAATTTCAACATGCACAAGATACTCTAACATCTGTTTCTGCTGTACTTCAATTTCTGAAATGAACTGTCTGTGGGGGAAATTTCATAATATTTGATGAAGAGACCCTTTGAAACATTTTCATCCACAATATCCACAGCTCAGTTTAAGTCTCAATCAACCAGAAATACATCCCTATACAGCCTGTGAAGTAATGAACCCAATTTACAGATATTTCTCTGATACATCAGACCTCAGACCATGGCCACACAACTAAGCACAGAAGTATTTGGAAATTACAGTCAGAATAAAAACATTTTCTGAGATTCCTCCATCAAAAAATTATTCTAGTAAGCTGATTTTTTGTCAGATCAACCCACAGTGCCTCCTTTTTTGAAGGATGTAATATAATACACATACACTCAAAGGACTACTAGAACTCAGTTTGATTACTGTGCCTTTTCCTGGGCCCTCTGCCTTGGATTCTAAACAGTACTTTTCATGGCACTGTATTCAGTCTGATCAGCCTAGATTTCTTTTTTTTTTAGTAGAAACAATAATGGAAGTAAAAGCTACAACTGATTTCCTCCATTAAAAATCAAAAGCATCTGTTTTATAAGGGGTAAGAATAAATATCATAAATAAAGCTAAGACAAATGCAACTGAATAAAAAACAAAGGTGGAGATAAGAAATATGGTGTGATGTCACTACATACCTGTGGCACACAAAAAGCAGTTTCTCTTCTTTTTGCCCGCTTTGCACACATTCACAATGCTCAACAAACGTTCATCATTGGGAGTGAAAATATCCCTCTGCAAAGCATGCTTGATTGCAGTCATTTTCTCTCAGCTAAAAAGTTTTAAGAAGTCATAATACATTCAGGCACTTAACACACACAAAAAAAAAACCCAAACCACAACATTTTATTATTTACTTATAGCAACTACTAGGTTTTTTTTAATTAAATTTTAAAAGTAACTTCATGAATGAATCATCATCTAGACAAGCATGACTTAGGTAGAAGACTAGTCCACTTTAGGAAAAAGTCTATGATAAAAAGCTTGCTATCTTACTTCAGTTAGACAATGGCAACTGATGAACACTAGCATAATCTTTCTGCTTAATTTAACTGAGAACAAAAAGCTTCTTAGTAGTAAAGTGGAACGTGAGGCATTAAAAAAGTTGAAATGCGAAGCAATGAAAATTACTGTCTCACTAAGTAGTGAAATTTCAGAATGGATCCAGTAAAAATGTGTATCAAGACAAACAAACAAACAAAATCTAAAAAAATTTGACAGGATGGTGAATGTGAAACTTAAGTCACTATCATAACAACCTTAAACGAAACTTAAAAGTCTAGAAGCCTTCAAAAATACCTACAACCTTCAATCAAATTTTCAGGACTCTCACCAAATCAGGGTTATGAATCAGGCAGACCAAACTGAAAATAATGTTCCATTTAGAGGGAGAAAAAGTATCTCTGGCAGCCTGCTTTGCAGGAAGATTCCTGAAATATGTTCTGGATACACTATGTCATAGCGTCATTCAGTCCACCACTCAGATGCCACAATTTCAAGTCTAACAAGCTATTAGTTTTCAGTCTTGGTGTACCACATACACATTCAAATTTTCTTTAGTAGAGGGAAAAATCACCCTGATTCGGGATCACTGACCCTGCATACTTCCTCACTCTCTCCTCCCTTGGTATCATAAGGGAAATTCTAAATTGGTTCTTGATCCCATGTTATGGGAGCGTTCTCAAGTATTCTGCTCAAATAGCTTTCTTAAAGCAGAATAAATATATCACATTTTATTTGGTGGCAAAATACGCCAAACCAATGGAAGAAAAATCCCCAGTGTACTAGTTTTCCCAGGTTTGATACTGCTGCAGAAAACATTTGTGATGGTTACCTGTTGTTAAATTCATCACTGCATCCTGAAGAGTTACTGGAAACTTATTTATGTGTGACTTAACTTTAACCAGTAAGCAGGCACTAATTCTTTTTTTTAATTAATAAGAACATAACACATTGCAGAGCTCCCATGTAAGAGCAGTCAATAGTTTTTCTTAAATTTTAAGCCAGATTTTGACTCTGGCTATTGAATTCTCTCTCACAAAAGTTTCCTTAGAATAGTTCTTGGAATATTCAAACTCTGAGGGCAGATGGGCACCTGAAGTGACAATCTCTGAGAGTCTAGAAATACAGCATTGCGGGTTTTGCTTTGTTTTAATGTTTTGCAAAGACCTGTTTTACTGCTCTTGCCAGCTGACACATATTATTAAATGTAACAGGCTGTTCCTCTTCATTCTCTGCCAATTGTTACACCAATGCAGAATAAAGAAAAGCATCTTTGTAGCTGGTAGAACAGTTTGCACTGGCACAAGTTGCCCAGAGAAGGTGTAGATTCCCCCTCCCTGGAAGTGTTCAAGGCCAGGCTGGATGGGGCTTTGAGAAATCTGCTCTAGTGGAAGGCGTCCCTGCCCACGGCAGAGGGTTTGGAACTGGATGATCTTTAAGATCCCTTCCAAACCAAACCACCCTATGATTCCATGAAAGTTCAACTTCAAGGCCATCTAGATCTGAAAAGGCCACAATAATTTTGCAGATATAAGTCCATTAGGTTTTACTAGTTTGCTGCCTTTTCTTGGATGCATGGACTGGAGCCCAGAAGTGGAACACCTTAATTATGGAGTTTCTTATCTAGCAAGGAAATATTTCAAAAAGAAAAAGAAAGCAAGTATGTACGCTTAGTAGTAAATCCTGAGACTTGTGCTTCACTTTCAGAGCTTGTAACAGCAAACACAACAGATTGTACAAAGCCATCAGGGACTGCCATTTACACCTGCTGGGACATTGGCAGATGTATTTTAATGCCAATGACATACTCACAACCATTAGGTTGCATAAATGAGGTGCATCCACAAAAAACAGCAAAAATACTTTCCTACCAACGTCCAAAAGTCTGCCTTCTAGTTTTTCTCCTCACTAAGAAGAGAGTTTTCAGCTATTTGTGGGAGGTAGAGAGGCAGAAAAGGATGGAGAGAGAAATTTAGGGGATCTGTTCACAAGTTTCCCCCTTCAAGTGATTCCCCTTTGCAGTAACAGCAGCCAGCAGAGGAAGAAAATAAAGAGTGAGAAGAAGGGGCTGTAAGAAATGAAAGCTGTTTAAATTTGTGGGATGTGTTAACAGCTGGTTTATTCAAAAGCATTCACTGAGAGTCAATTGTCTTTGGCCATGCCTTCAAGCAGGTATGCAAAGTGCTCAAAGGAAAGTGTTTGTACTTCTACCATGTTCAATTATGATGAAGAATTTTTGCAGAGGTAAAATAAGATCAACATTAAATTCACCGTGCACCAAACAAGAATGAAATCTCAAGAAAGTCACAAAAATCAGAAAGAGATGTCCAAGACAGATTTCAACATAATCACTTGGTTCCCTAGTAAAGCAGGATCCAGTCCTCACCAGATTCTAGAAATCCAGGGTGGATGGGACCACACCACTCAATACTAAACACTTGCAGAGATCAATCATATAAGGAAAAATCCAAACAAATACCCCACAAAGCTCCAGAAAATTAAGTAATTGCAATATTCACCTGATTCAGAACAGTGCCTCACAATGCAGAGAAATTCTAGGTAGACTAAAAAGAGCAACACTTAGACATCATATTTCAATGTGTTTATTTAAACGTAGAAGCTCCAATATTACTCTGACCTTATGACTTAAAATTCTACAGTGTTTAAAACATGATGAATATACATCAGATGCTACACTGCCTGGTGGTGCTGAGATGATAATACACAGAGTTAAATTTTAAATTGGGGTTTTTTTCCTGGAAAGGCCTGGGTTGCTGTCTCTGATAAACACACAACAAAGAGAAAAAGGTCCCCGTGGCACCTGAAGCACAAAAGGAACCAATTGACTTTTAGTCTTCCATCCCACCATGGCTCCACAGAGCTGGCCGCCCACCACCACATCTCTCATCTTAGGCAATCTGGTAGTTTTAAAGATTAGTAGGGCATGGGCTTTGGGAAAATAAGGGAAAATACATCAAGCTGAAATCAGTATTGTCAAGTGTACAGAGCTCAAGGCATCAAAAGAAACGCTGTTTACATGACACCCCTATGGCAATGGAACACTTCACAGCTGTTGTCTAACAATTTTCATCTCCTTTCATCAAAATGATAGGCCCATCTTTTGTTTTTCAAACTGCATCAGGTTATCATTCCTGTCATTCTTCAACAGGTGCATAAGACAGACACACAAAATCCAACCACCTGCTGCATTTCAGAAATATCTCCTTTCGTTCCTCATTCAGGATTTTACTTTCTGCTCTGAGCCACATTCAGGCTCCTCCAACACGCTAAGTCTCCCATTTCAGTGCTAACACAAGCTGTCCAGGTTGTGCAGAATACACAGAAATTTCCCAGAAAATCTTAACCCGAGATCAAAGGCTTGCTCTAACATATAGGCCAACTCCTGCTCCAAACTCGGCCCCCTCAGTCACCGCCACCAAAACATTCGCAACATGCCAGGGCCAAACACATCACTAAGCTGCTCAAACACGAATCCTGCCATGCCAAAGGAAAGCAGAATTAAGCACAAGGAGCTGGAGATAAAGCTGCTTCCTCAGAAAAGCACTTCAACGGAGCTGAAACCATGCCCGTTCAATAAATCCCTTTTGACATTGCTGCGCTGCTTTTCGTGTAGTAATGTTAAAGGCAAAACCTCGGCTATATGAAATCTATCAAAGGCACCACATCACCGGCGTAGGCTGCCCAGTAAATTAATACACAAGAAGGACTCAACAGCGCAATCTGGTAAGGTTACTTAGTGAGCCCAAGTGTGTAAACAGGGAAATAGACCACTTCTGCATCCTATCACCTTAAAACCCAACCGGAGACCACAGCCTAACTGCACCATCCCCGGGAACGCCGCTTACAGCCAAGACTGATCAAAGATCAATTACTTAATGGGAAAACTCGAGTTACTCATAGCAGCGGCGGCCTCCCAAGTGCCCATCCCACACCAGCCTCGCCGCCTCCC